GACGTGAACTATTTCAAAATAATGAAAAAGCGAATAAGCGTTGTTTGACAAAAAAAAAAAAACAGTTGTTTTTGCCACTACAAGTCCGTATAACAGTTGCAAGCGTGAAGCATAAAAGAGGAAAGGGACGGGGGAGAGAGCAGCGAGCGAGGGAAGAGCATTTATTGCTTAAGCTTCTGATGTCCTGTTCATACAGCTGTATTTTACAAACCAGACTGAAAGCCAATGACAAAAAACTGAATCAAAACCAGTCTTCTAAAATCGCACAAGTCACATAACGAATAAAATCCATGAAAAAAATAATGCACGAGCTCAATTAAAAAAGATGTTCTTAAAAATGGAAAAATCAGAGGTATAGTGAACGGGAAGTGACGGTATGTCCAAAGCCAAAGCGATAGTGCCAACTCTGAAGATGAGAGTTACTTCCAGAACGATCAGGAAATATGCGCCACAACTTTCTGCCGGCAATAGCACGTTGAAGAGCTATCGATTGGCACAAAACTCAAAATACCGTCGATGTCCTCAAAGTGTCGAACAGTACGAACCAAGCCAATTTTTTCAGTGATATGGCGTTGAAAGTAATGATGTACGCAAAACGCAAAAGAACGGACACTAATTGTGGTGCGGGAAAAGTGGTGCACCACTAATATTGAATCTTCACAGCAAGCTTCCAAGCTACCTCCGTGAGCATTAACGCCACAGACAACCAAAGAAGATAGCACAGTAATATAAACAATATAATACTAAAAACACAGAACATACCAGATGATTAGTTTTCATTCTTTCGTACAGACTATCAAATTCATCGAAATTCATTTCGGAACGCAAAGTATAATAGTAAGCGTTCCGCCCGGTCAATATCACCTTAACAAACAACAATTTCAACACCTAGAACAATAAAAAGTCTGCAAAGATGAAAAGCATGAAAGCCGATGAAGCATTTTCTGAGTTCAAGCAGTCGTGCCACTAGTTCATACTTAGCAGGCCTAGGCGAATCATATATAATGAAAGGTATCTAACCCTTTCTTTAAAGGCAATTTCGCCACGATCCTCAGAGTAGAGTAATTCTTTGAATGACTCGCTTTTCAGGCATGCGAGCAGAGGAGCAATATCGAAATGCAGTATTTTAGTTCTAAACACAGCCAATATCATCTGCTGAGACACGACTAAATGCGGTAGGCAAACTGTTGCTCTTAATCGTAAACAAGAAAAATAATCAACGAAAACCAAAAATTACACTTGAAAGTGGCGCCGAACCAAATCATTCAAGCAAACGACTAAATGTACAAACTTCTCCTTCTTTTAATTTGAGAGCGGACTTGGTATACGTTTTCTGAACGAGCACCTTTTTGTGTAAACGCACCGTATTTTGTTTAAATCAAACAAAAGTTGGTGTAAGCAGGATGTACTGAAGCAGTTGACATCTGCGGGGAAAAAAAAGTATGGCGAAAATAAAAAAAAAATCAGCGCTAAAGGATGGTGCTCTTAGGGAAAAACTACACGGGAAGGGGGATTTAAAGAACGAACGAAGGGAGGTTTTTTTTACTATGGTTAATATTAATACAGTGGTTAGGGTAAATGAACCCAGGGGATGAGAACACATATTGGTGCAAAACGAAATTATTAACAGGAGACAGTGCTTACTGAAATGGTGGTATTCTGGTGGTCGTGGCAGAGCGGAGTGTGACGAGCTTAAACCAGTTTTCATCCATCCACGCTCGGCCACTCCAAATTACCGGTGGCAAATCCGGCACATTCCTGGAATGAAACACACTCCGATGCAAGCACGGCAGCAGATACCAATAAATGTTTTCATTAAATCCTAATAATCGCGCCAGACTATTTCAGCCGTTGGGCTGTTGCAAGTTTGTAGAGCACTCTTTTCTGATCCTTTTGTAAAACGCTTTCGGTGAGTAATTTTTTCGCCAAAGGCTATCAGTTGGTACATTGTGAAAAGCGGCAAAAATGGAGCTTTTGCAATGAGCTGAGATTGAAAAATATCCGAAAAAAGTCAGCATACTTCGAAACAAAACATACTCGATAGAATAAATAAATGGCCAACGCACGGGCTGCCCGTGCGAAGATGCGTTTTTTGCAGAGTTCCCCG